CAAAACTGTAACTACGATACTTACACATAAACGATGGCACAATACATCGCCAAACCCTGTACACATGTATCGTTTGTATGCCCAACTCGACAGAGGGGAAAGCTGTGTACGCCTATCCCCTCCCCCTCCTGGCCGCGTCACCCGTGATCCTCTATGCATCTAGATAACACAAACTATTAACGCTTGTTTTAACGTCATGTAGAGAATGTGAATTACACATAGTTACATAGGATTATGTTTAGCAGTGGGTGTCTCAGATGGCAAAAGAATTATTCTTATAGTAAAATTATTTCGGCAATTCTCCGATATTGAAGAGCAATCATCCAGGATATTACGTACAGAAACTGATTTATTTTGTGATATTACGAATGTAATTTAGAATACCTACACTATTACTATGTCGCGTAAACATTTGTGCAGAGAGTTTCGTTCCACCAGGTGTTGGTTCAACAGTATCAACAAAACTCCTGTGGGAATAAAATCTCTTTTTGTAGATGCCATGTGATAATTGACCGCATGCTGACATTTATGAGCATTCAACCTCCCATTAGGCAGAGTCATCTGGCGCCGGCTCGCAATTAAATAAAACTGATACGTCTACCACTTCGTAGAAAGAAGTTTCGATGAGAATTAAGTGGCAATAAAGTGAAAATATACCATTCGGCAGTCTTATATTGTTTTGGGAGACTTTTCGAGTGCTATAAAAACGGTGTTTTAATTATTAACAGTACTGTTTAAAGTAGACAAATAATGCCTACTATGCACTATTTGCCATCTTTTTTTATAAAAAAGTTGGGTTTGGTTACGTCATACTTTTTTCAGTCGTTAGAATTTTATTTCGATTTTACCGCTCACTGGCATATTGACGGCTTGGTGATTGACACGCAAACAGTCAAAAGCTGAGGTTAAATGTGCTACTAGTCGAGAGCAGAACACGCCGCTAAAAGTAAATACGAATGTTTCGTTTTACAGAAAACTGCGATGCGATGCGACGTCGCATCGACTACGAAACGTCAATAAATAAATAAAGTTTTCGTGCATTAACCCGTAAAAACTAGTTTTATTTAATGAGTGATGTGCGTGAAAACCTAAGAAACAAATATTATTTATTTTATTTATTTATTCCTTAACAATATTACATTGTGTTGGACGTACAAATTTTAGTACATTAATAAAAAAAGCAATTGATAAAATAGAATACTCTGACCAATAACTAAAATATAAATGTGAATAATATAAAAACCCAATCAGTATAACAATAATAATCAATAACATTGCATAATTATTGTTATGAGAATTTAAGAATATTGCACTTTCTTAAATAAATTAAATTGATTAAAAAATACAATTATAATCTGACTAATTACTAAAAATATCAATGTCAATAATCAAAAATCATTTTTTTATAAATAATCAATAACATTTCATAATAAAATTATAATAATAAATATAAATCAAAATGTCAAACTTATAACCTATGTGTAACAAATTCTTCAACACTTTAAAAAGTTTTTCCAACAAGAAGGTTTTTAAACGATTACGAAATAAATTAATTTGTACAATTGATTTCAAATAGCTGGGTAAACAATTATATAAGTAAACCGCTTGATATCTAACACTGGGAGACAACATTCAATCTAGGTACCACTGAACTAGTCAAATCTTTTCTACGCGTCTGTAAGCGTTTAACCCTATCCTGCGACATTTCATATTTTTCAGGAGCCTTAATCATATAAGACAACAATTCATAAATTTAAAGGCTAGGGACAGTCAAAATTTTTAAATTCTTAAAATGATCTCTACAGGATTCCCATTGTGGAATACGCTGATGATGAATACGATTTGCAGCAAATCAGAAAATAAAAAAATGCTAAATGGTTGCTTGCCATACCATGTTAAACCGGTACTGAAATAAAGGGGTTCTGAATCAAATTTTAACGTGGGATGAGAAGTTGGTAGGTACTCTACAGCAATCGTGAGCGATAGGTACTTACAGAGAAAATTGTTGTGTGAGCTATTTCCGAGTAAGAGTTCCGATGTGGGGCTATATACTCAGCAGAATCTACTCTAAATGCCAATGCTGTATTTTGACAGGATACGGGAATTACATAAGTACTGTAACTCCTGATATTTATCCTTCCATTACTTAAAATATACTCGTATATGGAGGGTTTACTCCAATTCCATTTTTCGTCTTAACTCAACTTTTGAGTTTCCAAAGGAATGTGAAGTTAACAGAAAAATTCAATAAAACTACTTGGTACAGGTGGTAATTAAGTAATGGGATCGATTTAATTTTTTTCCGCCAGGATTCAAATCCAGTTCCGTAAGAGGTAAAAGGCACGAGCATTACATACAATGGGAATGATAACCAACTACTTTTCTTAGTTTATCAGGTGGATTATCAAAAAGTATTGGACACGATTTTTTTCCTTTGTCATTTAATCAAAATATTCATAGATTTTTAAATCTATATATCTTTGTAATGACATGACAAAGTGATGACATACGACATTTCAATATCGCATGTCATCACTTTTTGGTAGAATTTTTCTTAAGAGTGACATCACGCGACCCTACTCCCAATCCACTCTCTTTGTAATGTTCTTTTGTGAATCAAACAATGATACACAAAAGAAATAATAAGTGTTCATTATTTTTTGATTATCTCACTGATGGACTAAATAGAATTTAGTTTACTTTAGCCCATCATCATCTCTATTGTTTAACAAACCGTTTAACATAAAAATCTTTATTACAAGAAATTTTCATTGTCATATTAAATCTGTACTTAGGAAATAACTTAGCAAGCGCTCATCAAGAGCACCTATCAAAGATCAAACTGCTTATCGAAATGAAATTAATGCTAAAAAAATATTTTCTAATTTCATCAAAAATTCCATACATCAATAATTGTTAATCTGATTACCATACATATTTGTTTCTTAGGTTTTCACGCACATCACTCATTAAATAGCGTTTCGTAGCCTTTACAGGCTACGTCGTCAGAAACGTCAATAAATAAATAAAGTTTCGTGCATTAACCCGTAAAAACTAGTTTTATTTGATTACCATACAAATAAAATTTAGATCACTTCTTAAACATCATCTAGTTTGCGGTACCGATAGGGTTTCACCCCAGTTCTTATCTACAACAGTCAATGTTAACCTCAAATTCATTATTGACCTATTGACCTCACTCACCCCGCCGCCACTACAAATAAATACATGTAAGGGTCCCATAAACAGATTCACTATACCCGCCCACCGATCCGAGATACAGAATCTCAGACACAACGTCATTTACGGGAGGAACCCCATTACCCGAATGGTAGTACTTGCGTGGGCAATTTTATTTTATGTCGTAACACCATCTACATGTTTTTATTGGCCAATGCTACTTATGAAAGCACTTTCTTAACAGACTACGGGGTGAGCGTTAAATTTGTGGAGGCTCTTGAGTAGGAACAGAGTAAACTGGATGAAATTTTGCATTTCATTCGGATTCTTATTTCTGTCTTATTATTTTCATTCTTCCTTAGTAGAAGTCTATTGAGAATCTCAAGTATACGGAAGCGAAGTAACGAGCAATACCCATTATTTGATAAGTTTATTCATTTATGCTTTGTCCGGGGTAAATACTATTCAGTTACCTTAAAAAGAAATACAATTATATTTGCTATAATACTTAAGCTCTTATAATTAGTAGAGTTATTTCTTCGTTATCTATATACCTTGTTGTTCTATCTCTTTATGTTTTTACTAACAGTTTACTATCTTGATTACAATTTATTAAATTGAAAATGATAAAAACTACAAAATAATACAATTTAATAATATCTCTTCAACATAATATTTATTCGCATTACTTATTTTGCATCAAAACTATGTATGAACTTAATAGCTTCAATTTCAAGCAATTTATTATTACATGATGGATTTCTACTTACAGCTCTTGTTAGCTGAAGTATATAAACCAAAAGTATTTTTGCACTAACGACCATCGGGCAAGCCTCCAGACAACAATACGGATTGTCTGAAGAACAACTTTTGCCCAAACATATTTCGGTTGTTTGAAAAGCGGCGTAATGGTGTAGAACCCGAAGAAGTTTACGCATGAAAATCAGGCTTTGTGAATACGTATATGGGTTGAGATACCATATACATATAAGGATAATGAAAGGTTCGCCAACGTTAGTTGACAAGTTGGCGAAATGCCTCCTTAATAACCGGCAACATAAGATCCTCTCCCTCAGTACAGTTTTGAGACTTCCGCGGGACATCAAAGATTTTCTCGGACTAGGAAATAAGCTTAAGGAAACATCATAAACATTGTGACGACTTCATTATCAGCCTTTAAAGGTTCTATTTAAGGATGCCGAAAAATCGGTCGTCTGTACACATTTCTTGTACAAAATCTTGTTTAAAGCTGAGTTAGCTAAAAAGAAAAATGGTTCAATAAGGCTTCTTGGTATCTTGAAAAATAGTAAAAAAGATACAGTTTCACCAGAACACGCTATAACATTTACCTTTGAAAATTAACAAACTTAACTATAATTGGCCATAAGCACAGCATACAGCCTTTTTTATTTTGGAAAGTCAAATATCATCATCATCATCATCAGCCTATTAATGTCCCCACTGCTGGGGCACAGGCCTTCCCTATGGATGGATTAGGGAGATTGGGCCATGACCTACCACGCGGGCCCAGTGCGGGTTGATGGGTGCTAACGACTGCAGATGCAGCCGAGGCAATGGCTTAACGTGCCTTCCGAAGCACAGAGGAGCTCGAAATAGTAAATTTTTGGTCACCCATCCAATAACCGACCGCTGCGAAAGTTGCGCAACTTCAACGACCGCAGCCGAACGCGCTTACCACTGGCGCCATCGAGCTCCTTTAAATATCCCTATAACATATTTACTTCACGACAGTTCACCGTACCTATAAACTTTAATTTCAACTTGAATTTTAATAAGTAATCAACATAACTTTGTTTCAGGTAAAGGAGTTATATCATGAAGAGACTGTGCCACTATAATACAGGGCTTATCAACATTTTATATGTCGCGTCGTGAAACCCGCTATAACTTTCACACATGGTGATTTTTGTTTCGAGTGACAAAGTGGTGCGCTTTGTGTTGTGATGTTGCGAGAGTTCCTCATAAAAGGCGGTATTGCCAAATACATTGTCACCGGTGAAGATGGGCCGTAAGAGTTACACATTTTCCGTTGGAAACGGCAACATGATCTTGATTATTTACACTGCACTACTTCTCTGGAGGATTGATTGCGTCGTCGAGAGTACCAAAGGTAAGTTTTTTCTTATAATCTATTATATAAGACAATTATATCAGTTGTGTGAGTTACATTACATATAACTCGAGAACGGCTGGACTGATTTTATTGAGCTCGGATTTATTTTTCTTTTTTTTCTTTCTTCTTGAAGAGCAGAAAGACTATTCAAATATCGGAAAAATCCGATATAGACCAAATATTATGTGTTTCAGTAAAACCAAAGTCAGTAAAACTAACACAATATTAAAACTAACTCTGCACCAATCTCTCTGTAATCCTTCCACTGCTGCGCTAGACAATTTGCTGTTGTCGCGTTTTAATTCGAACAAACACTATCAAATATCTCGGCATATGATAGGCTTTCGTGGAATTTACAGCAGCATCAGCAATAGCAAATCGCTGCCAAAAGCTCATCTATTATATTCAAGGCCTTAAGGAGTATTCTAGATGGACACACATGAAGGTATAAGTCTCTCAGAGGGAGTTTTATTATCTAAGTACATTGAAACCTGGTTAAGTGGGACCTGGATAAGTGAGAAACCTCTATTATTGAGAGTTGCAACGAGGTCCCGGTTCTTTTTCTTTAAATTACCTCTGTTAATGGGACTTATTGAACCTGGTTAAATGAGATTTGAATTCTAAGACTCTTTCGATGATTACCTGTATAAGTGAGACTAATTAATCAGGTTGTAACACGTTTTGTCATGTTTGTTTACATACATTTCGCGTCGTCCTTCGCGCATGCTTTGTTTGTCAGTACTCTAAAAATGGAATAACGGCACATTTCGACCTCTGTAAGCGGGGGCCTCTGTAAATGAAGCAACTATAATTTTAAACCTATTTAATTGGAAAACTGGATTATTGGATACCCTCAATAATTGGTACATATATCTTAGGCCCTTGAGATCCCAATTAACCAGGTTTCACTGTACTATATTTGTACCTGAGGAGGTGCAACCAAAACCATTTTGATGGAAGCCGAGTGCGATCAAAGACTTCTACAAAAACCCAGAATAGACTTCCATACAGACATTCTACTACTAAGTTATAAACCCACTGTAATGTCCTCTCCATAAGAAAATTATACACCTATTTATAATTCTGAGACGTTACCACAGCTATATAGTACCTACATTGTATATGCAGAATATTTGCAAAAATACATTACTTTTATAACGTTCCTCTATTGTATAACAAATTTAACAAAGGAAATAATCTAAAGAAAATCATCAAGCAGTTACAAACTTTAAAATAATAAAAAAAAAACATAAAGGAAATAATTTAAGGAAAAATAATTATCATGAATTTGAAAATTAGTTAAATAGAAGAGTTGCAAGCCACTAGATTATGGACCGCAGATGACGGAAATTGCGAGAAAAAATGTTCATTAAATACATAAGATTTTCAAACTAACGTTTTTATATTTATGTGGAAACCACCTGCGATTGGTTTACATGTTAGAATTTAGACAATCCTCTACAGCATAATTTGAAATCTAATCTAGGTTCGTTATGATTTTCGGTTTTAGTCGCGATAATATATTCGAATTTTAGTAATAATTATCATCTAATGATGCTGTCTAGTGGAATCTCCATTATCACGGTCGATGTTAGCCATGTGGCCCAGCCATGCCGCCAAACTCGATGTGTGGACTCGGAGGTAACTAATGACCTCCAAAAGAGATTATTAAATTATTATATATTCTACATAAAATTAAATAATGTTATTAGTTGGCATAAAAGCAGTTTCTGATTTCCATCGCCAGAGGTGATGTTCAATTTTTTTTTCAATAATTTACCAATCTTTACTTATTATGATAAACAGCTTTATTTTTTCTTATCTGTTTAGCATAACTCACATATAGAAACTGTAACCTATCCAATTTATTGTTAGTAAACAAGCCTATTGCTAATTAATGAAGTCGACTTAATTATGGATAACTCTCGTTATTTACTTGGCTTTTAAATGACGGTGCTACTCAAAGATAGCAATCTGATCTACTCCTACGAAGATCCTGGGTGTTTCCTTGTTAAATAGGCAAGCTTGTCTATTATTTTTTTATGCATAAAGTGTGTTAACCAAGCAAATGCTTCACCTGATAGTAAGCGGCAACCGTAGTCGGTCGCGATACAAAAGTATCAATCGTGCGTCGCCCCTTTCCCCGTGTCTTACACTGTGGAGCCTTAGCAAACTTACTCCCTTACAGAAACACAACACCAGCGACAGATATTAATTACAACACACTTGCTCAAAAATACATATTCGGAGGTTCTATATATTGTTCGAAAGTTCAAAATTACGAGCCATCAAAAGGACCGGGCAGTAATTTTTTTACCGAGTGCTCCCTCCCATTCATTGCACCATGCATAATCTACGGTTTTTTTTTAATTTCGATTGAACTTTCTTAGAAGTGCTTTTAATTTATACCTTTGTCTCACTTTAATACTAAAAAGAAAAAGACACGAAATATGTAGTTCTAATTTTCTCCATCCGCGCGTGGCGCCATTTGGAAATGCAACACCATTTTCTTAGAAGAATATTTTGATTTATTACTTATATTATGTTAACTGTTTTCTCGCAAATATGTTGAAAAACACATACCGCACTTGTATCATAAATAACTATTCACTGTAGTCACCTGTAAGGTAAAGTTTACTTCCCCAGGCGACCGTTCCAATCAAGCGAAAAATCAGCTATGCATGACCTCTCTTAATTAGCAGTAAGTGGTGAAATAGGACAGCCTCCCTAGCATAAGATCCACGATATGATATGATAATGCTTTTTATCGACACTCAACTGTCAAACTCCATTGTAGTCTGACAGTTAATGTCGATAAATCGCTTTATCATATCGCGTTTGGTTAGTCATGCTAGGGAGGCTGAACTATATTTGTATTTTAATAAATTGGAAACAAAAATAGATCACAGAATGTATCAGCTCCTATCTTCACCGAGCAGTTAGTAAATTTATTTATTTATCTTTAAAACGTAGAATCTATGAAGGAAAAAGTTCTTTATGTATTTCGTGAGACTCTTTCAGGCTCAATTTTTTACGTGATTAAACTAGCCGTTATATAATTTACTCGTTATAGTAACAATGATCATAATAACGTACCTCAAAAGGAAAAAAACGATATCCTTATATGATCACTTTGTTGTCCATTTATCTGTCTGTCAAGACCCTTTATCTCGGGAACACGTGTAGGTATCGAGTTGAAATTTAAGCCATATTACTCAAATTTACGATCTCTTAAAGCTATGATGAAATCATACTTCTAAGTTACTACAAAAAGGATACGGTCGTTTATGTTGCGTACCTACAAATTTGTACGGAACCCTTGATGAGCGAGTCTGACCGTTTTTTTTATGAACGACACTATAAAGGCAAATAACTTTGTGAACATTTCAGTGGTAAGCAAAGAATAATAAATCAGCCGATTTCATTAATAAGGTACCGATATATATTAAATCACAACACAATAATTTGTGCACGATCAATACAGTAATTTAATTAGTCAGCATAGAACTAAGGACGTAAAAGCGTCGTAAAATTATACCGAAGTATGTAAGCGTCGTGTCTGCAGCAAGTTATTGTTTATTTTTCGATACGTGGCTTCCGCCGTTCGTTGCTGCGGAATTTATTTTGTTTTATTACACGACCATAATATATTCCCGGTGACAGATACTCGTAACACTCACTTTCTACACCATCTTTATTGCTACATTCGTTAGCTGTTGCATGAAAGCAATAACATTTTCGCTACCGTAACTAAGAGACGTTAAACAAATATAAGTAGGTTTAGTATTAACTTGAATTCATTTTAATGGAGGAACTGTCAAGGCACTCTGCTGTGCTATTCTGTAAAATTTTGAGAAAATTAAGAGATGTTGATCAATTATTCAATTAAATACTTATTAATTTCTCAAAGTATGTATGGAATAATGATGAATCAATGAATTTTCAAATATTTTTCTCCAATACAAACCTGAAAGTGAAATTGGTTGATTTAAGGGCACTTGTTAACGATACGATGTCTACCCGGGTCTGGGCATGGTTTTAAAGCGTATCTAGGTCCGGGCGTAATAAAGGTATGGGACACTATGGAGCTTTGCTAGCGACACCGGCGTGCTGGTGTTAGCAATGGTTTGGGGTACAACCGTATAGACCGTGCTCATGAAAAAGCTTAGCCCGTACTCGAGTAGAAACCATGCCTAGACCCATCCGAATACCGGGCGTTAAGAAGCGCCATAAAAGTTTTAGTGAGGTTAGGTATGTCACGTATGTGGCCGATTTTTTTGAAGTTATACTTCTTTAGGCGCGTTATGAAAAAATGATGAGAGTGAAATTTTAAGATGCGCGCGCATCACTGTAACACCAAACACAAAAGTAACGCATGGTCGCTTTAGCGACCACCTTCATGCGTTACTTTTGTGTTTACCGCACATTAAGAAAATCTACCAACAAAATAGAAATAGAATCTCTATTTAGTGGGTGCTAACGACTGCATTGTGAAGGCCTATCAAAAGTATTTATTAATCTGGAACAACGGAACCAAAGCGCGATTCAGGAGACTACAGCGCCATCTCTTGACCATTAGTGTAGTAGAACCAAAAACCACACCTTTATTTTTTGTAATAAAGTAACAGTTATAGGTATTCATATTTATAATATTTATCCACATGTTTCTAGTTTGTATATTCGGAATACGTGTTTGAGTTTCATACAAGTGCAAATCACATATGTTCTAATAAATTATATTCAGTAGCGATTTTAATTGAATATTTTGATTATTTATTTATTTTTTCAAATTAAAACTGAACTTTATTGATTGTGTCCTTTTCCAGACTTTTTATTAATTTATTGTAATTAATTATTTGCACGCAATTAAAAACTAATTTTAAACGATGCCAAAGAAGGATAACTTCTCACGCGCCTACATAAGTACACGCACCCATTTTTTTTAAATACATGACGCAGTAAATTAGCTGTATAAAGTGTACCTAAGTGGAGTCTTT